AGAGAGAGAGACAGAGAGAGAGACAGACAGACAGACAGACAGACAGACAGACAGACAGACAGACAGACAGATGGGTGTGTGTGTGGAGGTTGGGGGGGGGGATCATTTACCTACTCCTTCGGGTTCTACAGATGCTGAACATTCAATCTTCCACAACCTCCCATCGAGATGAATACTCTCTCAGAACACCCACCAACGACCCCTCATACGCATAAATCGACTGATTAATTAAGAGTGTAATACCATGTGCTCTTTGCGGATGGGATCGGGTCGGGTCGGGTCGGGTCGGGTCGGGTATGGTCGGGTCGATAGCACGACTCATCGCCTGAAAACAAACTCGTTTGTTTTGGAGGCGACGAGTCTAGCGATCGGTTTGCACCACCATAGCCACTTTGCGCCCTCAATCTGGCTAGTAAACCGTTCCGACCCGACCCGACCCGACACGATTGTGCCAACGGGCACCCGGTATACGATTCTGCTAAGCGCCATTTTAAGAACTGACGTATAAGGAAGTCTTAAACGGGGTGTCCACTACGGATGGGGTTGGCTGATCGGGCCGATCGCCCGACTCCATCGCCTCAAAAACACGCATTTGTTTTCAGTTTCAGGCGATCGAGTTGGGCGATCGGCCCGATCCAGCTGTAGTGGGCACCCAGTATATCACTGAGCAGCAGAAATGCAAAAGACAGGAAATAACCCATCGTTCCGTCGTTGTCAACAATTCGCTACTTTTGAATTACAAAGTTCTATCTGACATTTTTGGTCGTTTTGTATTAATAAGACAATGAGGTCAGAAACCAAATTATAGTTAAGTAATAATAGGCCTATTTTCTATCTGTTCTATCAAGATCGTAAGAATTGCATTCGAAAAAGCTTTAAGACATGTTGTGAAACTCAAAAATTTTGAAGTCAACTTTCTCAAAACTACGATGTTCTGAGCAGAGAGAGCTTTGTAATTCCAGGGTAGCGAACTGTGATGTATACATGACTCCCTATACTCCTCATTGGTGGCCATTTACCGTGAACATTTTACCGCACCTCATGAAAGACCCAACAGGGTATCCCGCCCCTCCCCCTTCCAA